AAATGCGGAGTGGATCTTGTTGCTGAGTTTGAGGTGGAGTGTGAGGAGATCTTTGTTAATTCGGTCTAGGAGGAATCTTTTTGTGTGAAGTTCATTTCTGATTAGGGCTAATTCTGTTCTTTTCAGGATCCGTTTGGTGGCTGCAGAGTTGGAGTGGAATTGATACCAGACCCACACTCACAAAAACCACACAGGATGTCACCACCACACATCCACGCAAAAAACAAACCCAAAGCCACACCGATGATGAGGCACGACCACAAACCAGAAGCCAGACCACAGCTGCATCATTAGCCACTTTAAACCCCTCCAATCCATACATGAAGCAAACTGACACCCTCCATGAAGAGGAGGCACGACCACGAACGAGAAGCCAAAAAATAGCAAGGCAGCCCAAAATCTTAAACCCTCTGCAACTCAGACTAACCTGAGCACAACCAAACAGAACACTCCCCCAGCCAATCAGAGCACAGCCAAGCCCCTAACCATTCAGAACACACCTCCACCCAATCAGAACACAGCCAAGCTCCCACCCAATCAGTTCATACCCCCACTGGCAGTTAAAAGGAAGAAACAGCTAAGACCACACATTGCTGCTCAAAGCACGAAGCTGAAAACACCAGCCTGAAGATGACGAATGGGACTTCGTCGAAACGTTGCCAAGACACTTCCAATTTTACGCGGGAGAAAACCCGAACAACCAAAGACCTACATACAAATACCCGCGAAAACCTCAGAAAACAAATATCGAACCTCTACGGGGAGGAAATCCACCATCTGACCAGGACCTATGAAAAACTTGAAGTCCAAAGAGCTTCCATTTTATGCGACCTGCATTCCTACGCAACTGCCGAGATCAAAATCTAATCCCCACATGTTTCCAACTGAAATTCCACTCCAACTCTGCAGCCACCAAACGGATCCTGAAAAGAACAGAATTGGCCCTAATCAGAAATGAACTTCACACAAAAAGATTCCTCCTAGACCGAATTAACAAAGATCTCCTCACACTCCACCTCAAACTCAGCAACAAGATCCACCCCGCACTTTGGGACAAATCCAAACAACTCGCCGTCTGGAGAGCCGAAACACAGACCACCCTTAAGACAGATACACACACCAACAAACTCCGAAGACTACAAGAACGCCAGAAACAACCCCCCCTAGAAGTATTATATATATTCTTTATGCAAAAGTGGAGAAATATTATTCAAGTAATAAAAATGACAAGTACTGTAACTACAACTAAAGTTAGCAAAAAAACAGTTACAAATCCCACAACTACAATGGCCTCTCCTTCAGGCCATAGAATCATGTTGGTGAAAGTAAAAGAAAAAGTAGAATTGGCAATGAACCCACAGAGTTTGCAGATAACACTACAAACAATTCAAGAAACAATGATGATGACCCAAGAGGCAATAGCAAATAATTATGAAGAAATGAAAATACATCATAAAGAAATTAAGAATGATATTGTAAAAATGAGAGATGAAATTAAAAATATGAATGATAAGATAGGTAATATACAACAAACAATGATGGAAAATGAACAAAGAATTCAAAAAGTCAAAACAAAAATGGAGCTTGTTGATAGTAAAATAGAAGGGATGATACAGAAATCTGAGCAGACAAATAGGGAGTTGACTGAATCTATTGCTTTTCTGGAAATGAACAAAGCTTCGTTCTTTCTAAGATTTCAAAATATTGTAGAGGAAAAGGAAGAAGAATTGGGAGAAAAGATGGCAGAGATGTTGGCAGAGATTTTAGGCCAAGAAAAACGGAGGTAAGAAGAGACATAGACAAAATATATAGAGTACATACGAATTATGCATGAAGGCATAGATTGGCGAGAGAGGTCCATATAAGATTTACTAGAAGATCAATAAGGGATGAAATATATTAAAAAACTAGAGCTGAACCAATAATATATAAGGGTAAAGAAATAATTGTATTAAAACAAATACCACATAGTATACGAAATCAGAGACGAGAATACCAATTTTTAACGACTCAATTAATTAAATATAAAGTCATGTTTCGTTGGTTAATACCTGAAGGCATACTTTTAACTTGGCAGGAAAAAAAAATACAAGATAGATACACTTGAGAAAGCACAGGACTTTTATGAGTGTTACTTTTCACAAGGAGAAGAACAAGAAAGTAGGAAAGAGCCAGAGAGTAAAAGTTACGATGAAGATTTATTAGAGGAAGTTGATCGAGAGCGAGAAATACAAAAGTTACAAGAAAGAGAAAGGTTAGAAAGAGAAGCAAAAGGAAGACTTATAGAGACAAGAAGCATAAAAAAAATAAAAAATAAAAAATAGATCAAGTAAAAAATAGGAGTCATAATTAAGCTCTTATCTGTAAACATTAATGGATTAAATATATCAAGAAAAAGAGTTTAAACGTTTAACAATTTAAGGAAATTGGATGTAGATGTGATGTATCTTTAGGAAGTTTATATAAAATAGGATTACAGAAAACTACTAGAGAAAGTAAAATTTAGAAATATTATACACAATATTAGCATAAAACAAGAAAGGAGGAATTATTATATATGTCAAAGAAAAAATGAAATCAAATCAATATATTTGGATGAAAAGGGGTGAATTTTAATGTTGGAAATAGTATTAGAGCAAAAACAGTATATGCACTAAATAATAATTAATGTGAATCTTTTTTAAAAAAATAAGGTATAAAAGAAGCTAGTGGATTTGGACTATGAGAATATTTGTATGATCACTAGGCCTAGATAGAATCCCGGTCGAGTCCTATAAAAAATAAGAGAGTTACTACAATGAATAATGTTGGAAATTTAAAATGAGATGTTGGTAGAGGTGATATGTGTATAATAATGTATAATAATAATAATATGAATTATTCCTAGTTAAGTAGTAGAATATGAAGGAAGGAAAACGTAAATATGAAACAATGGGGCAATAAGGACAAATATTTCAAAGAAGAATGAGGGGGGAAATGTAAATAATAGAAGAGTACTGTTACAAATTGCTGTTAACAAAAAGGATATATTATGTTTGTATGTGTGTAATGTTTTGCTGTGTTTTGTTTTGTTTTGTTGGTCTAAAATAAAAATAAAAAAAAATGTGAAAAAATGAGATATACAAAAATTATCACCATGTCAGTTAATCCTTAGTTGGGTAACCTTTAGCATGAATTATGGCCTTACAATGTCTTCCCATGGAGTGAACCAAGTCCTTTAGTTCTGCAGCTGTTATAATGTGAAACCAAGATTGAATGATTGCTTCTGTTAACTGGGTTTTATTGCTGGGTTGCTTCTGACTAACAAGTTTCTTTAGTCGGCTCCATAGATTTTCAATTGGGTTAAGGTCTGGGCTATTCCCAGGCCATTCCAGCAGTGGAATATGATTATCTTGAAACCACTTTTTGCACACAGCAGCAACATGACATGGAGCTGAATCTTGCTGAAATATAAATGCTTCATTGTCTTGGAAAAGATCATGTGCAGAAGGCTTAAGTTTGGGCTCAAGTTTTCATTAATGTATTTTTGGCCATTTATATTCCCATTAATCACACAAATTCTGCCCACACCTTTTGATGTCATACAACCCCAGATCATAACACTGACTGGGTATTTCACGGTACATGTAATGCAATCAGGATCTTCTCTGATTCTTCTTCTTATGTGTTTTATGCCATCACTACCGAACAGGGATATCTTGGTCTCATCACTCCAAATAACACTGTGTCATTGTTCCTCTGTCCAGGTAACATGGGTTTTAGCCCAGTTTAGTCTTTTCAACCTTTGTTTGAGAGATAAAAGTGGCTTTTTTTGTGGAATTCTAGATTTGAGGCCAAATTCCTGCAGTCTGCGCCAAACAGTCCTTGCACTCAACTTCACATTGCATTGCGCCATTTCATCTTGTATATACCCAGATGATTTTCTTCTATCACGTAGGCACAGTCTCTTAATTCTTTTATCATCACTTGCTGTTCTGCACCTTTTCCTGACTTTACCAGTATGATTTTGTAGTGACTGAGTCTCCTTATACTTCTTCAAAAACTTAGAAATGCCACCTTTGGTTAAGTTTCCACCAATTTTTCTTCTAATATCTTTATAACTGTAGCCTTGTTCACTTAATCATACTATTTTCCATCGCTTTCTGAGTGACCAGTCAACTGTTTGCACTATTACTTTAATTTTATTACGTTTTACAAGCTCACTAAATGAAAGAACACAAAAAAACCCAACCAACTTAATAGCAATCACATAACACACTGACAAATGTCCTCCTCTCAGCTTCAATACATGACACCAATAACTGAATCCTACTGTGATCTGATTGGCTCATTGCCAAAACAAGATGACACCTGATTGGCTCTCTAAACACTAATGCTCATTGGCTACAATCCAATGAAGAAAAGTTACCTGATATCAACTTAAGCAAGTTGTCCCTCCTTTTTCTGGTTATTTGGCTATAACTTTTCATAGAATACAGATAATTGAACAAACCTCATTGCATTACATTCTTGATTAAATTATCTTTCAATTGATATATAATTTTATGGTACTATTCAAAAAAAAAGTGGTGTTATTAGCCATCAAACCTCAAATGTATACTTTTCCCAAAAGGTTTCCACAATTTTGGCCACTACTGTAGTATTGGCACACTGAAAAGTGAAACCAAGACTGAAGCTTTCCCCCCACAGGTTACAAAGTTGAACTTCCCAATTCAATGATGTGTCATAATGCACATTCCACAATTAACTACTTGCCCAGGCTTTCTAATGGAAGCCTTAGCCTGCCAAAATGCAATCAGCAATGACCTTGGTTCCCATAGAACAATTTATTGTTTTGACTAAATTAGAAAATACTCATCCCTCCTCCCAAATCTGTGGCTACCAAAAATGAAGAGAAAATGGCTTCAGCCAAATTCATTTATAGTGTTGAACGTGGTTTCAGATGAAGCCCAGCACGTTCCAAAAGCACAGTCCCAGAATATTAATTATTACTGATCTACCTTTGCGAAGAAAGTTTCCTTTGCTGAAATCGAGGAGATCAGAAGGCAAGAATGTGTAGTTTGCTCTGGAATCTATTTTCATGTTATCAAATGTAGCTTTATCTACCACATCATCCGTCTCCTTTTCAGTTAGCTTTTTTCCTAGGAAGTTGCATATTTTCAGTACAGATCTTCTCAGGTCCTGCAATTTGATAGAGCCTTATATTAGATCATCCACAACAATGGAGAAAAGATGGAAAAGTTTGTTGAGATCTCACATATCATATCTGTCACTCACTCCCCCAACCTTTAATTCTTTCTTTTCAAACTGAAAAAACTACCCTGATTAAATAATTAGTGTTTATTTTTTTAATGAAAACTATAGGAAACAATATCATTGAATAGAAATGCTGCTTTAGGACTTGTTGTAAACGTTGTTGAATAGAAATGCTGCTTTAGGACTTGTTGTAAATGTTTTCAAAGGCAAGTTTTGAGAAATGTTTTTAATTGACAATATATTGATATGCCATAATTTCCCTAGGATTCAGACTCTTATGTTCTTAGCAATCTTGGCAGTATCAGAGGCTGGCCAGTTCCTAGGCCGGGCTAAAAAAAAAATGCCTTGGCCTTTCTTAAAAATGCAGTTGAGTTGAGTCAATCTCTTCTGAGCCAAAACAGGAAAATATTATGAGAGACTTTGACTAAGCTTTGGCTAATTACAGATACTTAGTTGGATTTCCCTTATCTACTAAGTAAATCTATGAAAAATTAGATCAACTTTGTTTGGCCAGATTTGTTTACAACAGATGCATCCTGTGAATTCTAGCATAATAAGCCAAGTGCTCACAAAAATACCTTTTATTAATCTTTTTGATATCAAGATGATAGCACTCTATTTCCCAGATCCTCCTCCTTCCTTTAGAAGAGACAGAAACTTATTTTTCTTCAGAAACCTCACCACTCCTACAGGAGTGCACAGAAACAACCAAGAGTGGTTCTATGATCACCTCTGTTACTCCCTATTGGAATAGATTATTCACACTTCACATCATTTCTAAAGCTGTCTGTGCTTAATGGTTGTTCATACTGCACTTCACAGCACAAACACATCTTACCTTTTTCATTTCTTCATAAGAAAGGAAGAGAATATTGAAATCACCCTTATGAGCATACCAGCCTTCTACATGGTCTAGCCACGAACTACAAAGCACTGGTAGGAGAGAAAGTAATTTAGTGTAAACATGAGGGCAGTCTTGAAATCACTGAGTTCAGTTGTTCAGCTCAGGGCTGCAATGATCCAGCTGACCATCTGTCTCAGGGATACATTCTTAATACTTCAATTTCCTCCATTTATCCTCATTTATCTTTATGATCCTAATGGGCCTACAAATAAAAGCATGATAGCTCAACTAAGGGCTATCCTAATATCACTGAATGTGGAGAGGAGAGAGAAGGAATGGGAGCCATAGCTAATATGGTTGCGTACTCCAACTTGTTAATTAAAGCAATCTACTTTAATTTTTGTTATACTTCTTCAAATATCAGACTTATTCCGATTAGCTATTTCTGTTTCCAACTCCTAAAACACTTTGTATGTGATTCTTTAACTTAGAGTTACCTAACTTTTCTGGTTTTGTCTCCAACTGGCAGGGGAGGAGAAGGGATGGATCTGTGTGAGCAGCCAGCAAGCATGACCATGCATGCAGCTCCATTTGCACAAGTGGTGTGCAGGCATTCCTGCTGCTTGCAAAACAGGGTAGGCACACATGTGTGTGCTTGCCTGCCATTTCCATGGCCAAATTGCAAATAATTCATAACCCACTAATGGGCCATGGCCTAGATGTTGGGGACCCCTGTTTTAATTAATATTCATTTTTAAAAAAACTTTATATTTTATTCATCCATTCCAACCCATTCATATCCTGATTTTAAACCACCAAATAGTTTCCTTCCATTTTCTCCTCTATATTAAATATATCTTAGTATTACTCATCTCTCTCCTGTAATAAGCTCCCTTCAGTTGCCTCTCCTACCCATTTTTACTTCATGAGTTGTCCTCAGCGTCCTGCATTCTTCTTCACTCATCCATCCCATTATAAACTGTTTTCATAGAGTTTACACAAATTACTGCTTGAGTATGGAGAATCATTATTTGTTACTTATGTTAGGAAAGTGGGTGGATTGTTTGTTCTTTGTGGGAAGCAGATGGAAATATATTCATAATCTCTTATCTAAAACAAAACTGACATAATGTTGTCATGATGAAGGACTTCTTACCTTTTCCAGCCAAAAACGTCTCAAAGAAAGTACTGAAGTCTTTTGGGGTTTCTAATTTGACTAAGATTTTGTGAAAATGATAGCTAGAAACCAAGATATCCTTTGGATTTCTAAGCACATAAATAATCTGTAACAGAAAGATGATAATAACTAGTCAAAAAAACAAGAAAAAAGACAGATTGACAGCAAAGCCTACATACAGTGCATCTAATATTTCTCATACACTCATCTAACAGGCTCCATTATATCATGGGATCTCAAAGCTTATTAGCAAAACCATGTTTGAGGAACTTCCAGCAGGCCAACAGGATTGGGGCCAGCATCTTGAATCCTGAACCAAAGTGGTAGCCACTGCAGTTTCCAAAACAGAGGTGTCATGTATGAAGTTCTTAGAGATCACACAAGTGCTCATGCTGCTGCATTTTGCACCAGCTGAAACCTTTGGTGACTAGGGCATGAGTGGCTGACAGAAGGGATTGTGGGAAGGGTTTTGAGGGCTAGAGATAGCATTCCTCAACTTGACAGTGTTCAGATATGTTAAGATAGCAAATGGCCATGCAACACAAGTGTTGCAATCCATCTGGAAAAATAAGCTTAAGCTGGTCGATATTCAGTTCGGTTCTTAGCTATTTCTCCAGGGCATGATATTCTGATGTTAACACAATTTTGTTTGTGTTTATTTTCCTCACCCTTCAAAACTTATTAGTGTCCACCAAATATATTGGAACAATGTAATATGTGTTTGTGTGCCATTTGCCTATTTGTTAATAAAACATTCAGATACAGAGCTAATAGAACAGAAGACAGACAGTTCCCCACATCACCTCACAAGTTAGCAAAATATGTCTTACTTTTGCTCTTCTACTTCGTAATCCTTTGGGTACCAAATAGTAGGGCAGATGGGAACTAAAGAGACGAGGTGATGGGTAACTGGAAAAATCTACATGCAAAATGTTATACTCCAGCCATGGTGCTCTTTCATTCAGGGTAATATTTTCAGTTCCATCTCGATGACCTTCATGAAAAATCAGGCTCACAATATTCTGAGTCCATATTGTGCCTGCAAATAAGGAATAATTAAATTAATTCATCCATTATTACTTGGGGAACTTTGAGCTTATGCCAAGCCAACCTTCCTATCAGGAGAAATAGGAAATATTTCAGAGATGCCTGAACACAATGAAGTCTTCTAAAATTGACAGATTAAAGTGATGGATGGATGAGAAAAACTAGCTATTTATTTGCACATTTATTTCTATCCTGCTTTTATTAGTTTTGGAAGTAATGGCAAGCATACCTAATAATCCTTCCTCATCCTATTTTCCTCACAATTATCCTGAGTGGGCAGAGGCAGTGTGACTGGCCAAGGTCACCCATCTAGCAATGTATGGGTAAAATAAAAATGATGAAAGTACAGGTTTAGCAGCTTTATTTCTCCTACGTTTTCAGCTTCTTATAAAATGCTAAATGTTGAGGCTTCCAGTTTGCTGATGTGGCTGCTGTAGCCACTGGAAGGCGAGCTCCGTCTTCCACGTCCGATTTTGCACCGCTGGGGGCCCTGGAAAGGGTCAAAAGTGGCTCTGTAGGGGTAAGCAAGGAGGGGATCTTCCGCTCGATCCGGGGAAGCCTCCACACTGGAGGATAAAAAACCGGCCATAGAAATATGGCCCGTCACTAGGCTGCAGACAGCCAAAGTGAAACTTATTACCAGGCAATAATAATAATAATAGTAATAATAGTAATAATAATAATAATAATAATAATAAAGTTGGAAGGAACCTTGGAGGTCATCTAGTCCAACCCCCTGCTCAGGCAGAAAACCCTATACCATTTCAGACATTATTTTGTTGTTTAAATGATAGCCACTAGAGCAGGAAAAATACACCTTTTAAGCTGGTAGATATATTTAGAATTGTGATAGCAAATCATTGCTTGCCCCCCTCCAAATTCCTGAACAAGACAAATCTATAATTACATTACATTATATATTTGTCTGCTCAAAAACTGGCCACCATAATAGACATATCCATTCACAAACCAATACCAATGAGGTACTGTACCTCCTAAACTAAGTTTCACAAAGCACAAATACTCAGTACTCATACTCAGTTAAATCAAAATCAAACTAATCATTTTATGGTCAGCATCATGTACAAACTCGTTCATGGATTTCACATGGCTTCTTTAATAAAGCAGAGTTTCTTGGCATAAAATCCGTTCATTCTGATTATTTCCTGTGACCTTATAAAGCAGCACGGATGAGACTGGGTGAGATCTGAACCTCTCTTCAATCCTAACTTTTTTTTCTACCAGTAGAAGCTGCCCAAAGTATTTTCCCCTTAGTGGAGAGAGGGAAGGGAAATTCTATCCCACCCTCTAAAAACAGGGGCGACTGACTATCGAGGGGAGTTTAAAATGCTGAAAGAATAACCTGATTCTAACTGGATTTTTATCTTTCTCAAATTTGAGGACTAAAAGATTTCTTATTCTTATTGAAGATTTGGGTTTTTACTTACAAAAAAGAAGTAAAATTGGGAAAAGTATTATAAAAATTTTGGACTTAAAAAAAAATCTTAAATGGTATGGGCGACATCTTGTGGCTAAACCTGATATTACAACTTATTGTCTAAAAGAGACTTGGCTTGAAGTCCAGACTATACATAAGACTTTTGCAAGCTTGACAGATATCAGCTGTGAGAAGCCCGGCTGTGTTCTATCCTCAGTGACAAAATTATTTTCATTCTCTGATTGTAAAGCTTTTAATTTAACACACCACTAAGAGAACATGGATGAAGATCAGGAACAGATTCTCTTTATGCTGAAAGCAATTTATGAAACTATTCTGACAGCTACTGATAAAATAAGAAGCTACAGAAAAGAACAAGATGTCAGCCTAGATATATGAAAACAAATTTTGATTACAACTAAAGAATCAACTACACAGAATATAATGGAAGAAGTAGAACAATCAAATACTATGATAGAAGATTCAACTCATCAACAAGCACAGTTAACAGAAAACCCAGAAAAGGGACTGACAACATTGGAAATGGAAAGGACTTTCTATATAAACCAGAAGAAACCTGAGGATCAAGAAGAAGAACAGACTGAAGGGAAGTTAAACATAGTACAACTATGTCAAGATGGAAAAATAGAGACACAATTTGTTAGCCCTTCAAAAAAAATGGCGACTGGATGGCCTCTTTTATCTCAAACAAGATATATAATAAAAGAGGGAGATCTATTTGATGACTTAAAAGCATGGATATGGAAGGCAAGTTGGCAAAGAAAGAAAGCTAGAATAAGGCTGAAGAAAATTGGGGTTTTGACTTATTAGTGAGGATTAAAATAGAATATACTCAAATAGACAAGATGTGTACTTTGAATACTAGATTTTGTTATGAACTGAGATAAAGAAAACTGCCATACTTCAAAAGTACCTCAGAAACCAGACTACTATATTACAAACACATGTCATCATAATAGATTGATAGATAACCTTTATTGTCATTTTTTACTGTGGGCACAATGGCGCACATTAAAAATGAAATTTAGTTGTTTGCTCTCAAAGTGTACACATACATAACGAACATCTGAACACACTATATACAACATATGTACAGACCTACATCCTTACATATAAGTAACATAAATATTAATCACTGTCCATCTTTAATACATAACAGAAGGAGGAAGCTTTAGAGTTCACAAGGTTAATAACGTATGAAACTAAAAATTGGGAAAAACTAATTAGGGCATTGATTGTCTATAAAGACTGAATGTTAAAATAACCAGGATATGTATAAGCTAAAAATTATTGATAAATGTAAGAATGTTGTTTTTATTTAATGGATATAATAAGAATTGTATTAGTTTAAACATGAGACAGTAAATGCTAAGGGGAAAAGAAAGGAAATATTTATTGTGGTAGTTTGAGACTTGTACTAAAGATACTTGAATTATCGATTAACTCAGCCATGACGTTGCTTTTTAAATACTTAAATTTAAAATTAGAAAATCAATAAAACATAAATAAAATAAAATGCTAAATGTTAAAATTTGGTTATAGCACAACACAGTTACAGCAACCAAAATCCTGAGGAACTGAATAACAGCACTGGATACAAGATTATCTCTTTCTTGGAAGACATCTTTGAACTTACCAGATTTAGGATATGTGATTATGAATATATCATCATCTCGGATTTCCAAACTGTCCAGTAAATCTATACCTTTGGGTGAAGACATGCCATTTATGAAATAGATTCCTTTGTATTTATATAGGAAATCGTCCTCTGGCTCCATTACTTTGGCTGTTGATAATAATATAGCGATTAACAGTACTTCCTACATTTATGGTCAATATTAATTTAGTTCTTTAAAAATCATAACTCCTGCTAACATAAAGAAAAACAATGTATATATTATTAGATTAGTTTCCCTAATTAATTAATTAGTTTCATGAACTCAATTTTCATCCACAAAAGTTTCCATTACAAACAATAAATTTGATGTTCTTCTTGGAGTTCTGTGTAGAAGAGAAAGCCTTAATTACACTATGAACAACATACTAGTTGCAATTCTTTTCTTACCTTGCCTTACCTAGTCCCCAACTGTCACTCATGTCATGTCCTTTAGCCAACTTACATTCCTGCAGAGTGCTCAAATATTTAAGAAGGCGGATCTTTAGTCAATCATTGTGTAAGCAGTGCTTCTGTATTCCAAAAATGAGCAAGAGAGGACATAGAACACGATTGAGTAATAACCTAATTAACAAGACTATCTTATCTCAGGCAACTTTATCAAAACATGTCTAACCGTTCAATCCAATATAGCACAATCAACACACGCTGTGGCAAGGCTAACACTGCCATACTTCAAAAGTACCTCAGAAACCAGACTACTATATTATAAACACATGTCATCATACTAGATAGATAACCTTTATTGTCATTTTTTTTACTGTGGGCACAATGGCACACATTAAAAATGAAATTTAATTGTTTGCTCTCAAAGTGTACATATATATAACAAACATTTAAACATACTATATACAACTATATACAACACCCTTACATATAAGTACATATACATATAACATAAATATTAATCACTATCCATCTTTAATGCATAACAGAAGGAGGAAGCTTTAGAATTCACTAGGTTAATACTGTATAGAAGAAAACCATGACTGAATCTGGATGTTCTGCTTCGGATACCATGAGCCTCCTCCCAGAAGGTAAGAAGGAAAACAGGTTGTGAAGAGGATGTATACTGCAGTGTTTCTCCACAGCATTGCTGGCTGTGGACTTCTGGGAGTTGAAGTCCTCATGCCTTAAAATTGTTAAAGTTGAGAAACACTTTTGTATAGTGTCCTAGACAATCTTGCAGACTCTCCTCAAGCAACACCTACTGTATGTGCTATGTCCTGGATGGAAGGGAGGGAACTGCCAATAATCTTTTCTGCCATCCTCACCACTCTCTGCACTGCCTTCCTTTCTGAATCAGTAATGCTTCCAAACCAGACTGTGATGTTGCATGTAGCACACAAACCATCTAAACTCTAAAATGATACATTTTTGTTCCACAAATAATGAGCATTGATAAAATAGACACTAGTTATTTGCCAGAATTTTGGAGTGAAGAATTGAAATTCTTATACTCTTCCTGAGACCATGGAGTAAAAGGATGGAGGGTTCATGGCTCCTATCTCAAAGGCCTTCTGGCTCTTCTCACCCTGGCCTTACCTCCTGCTTTGAGAGAGCAGTGTAAGGGTCAACAGCTACCCGAAGAACTTGAGGTTCCAAGAAGACAAATCAGGAGACTCAAGCGGAGGCTTCCAAGGTAAACAGCACTTTAATTGATCAAGTGAAGTTGCAGTGTGGACCACTGTCCGAAACATTGTCAGCTGTGTTTAGAAGTGCCACACCTTGGTCAGTCAGGCATTTCCTTATTTAGGCAGCAACAGCCAATCACAGAGTTACACATGTCAGTAAAACATAGTATCAGCCAATCACATTTTATTCTTTTCCCGCTCTTTTCCTTGTCTTTTGGGTCTGTGTACATGTTCTTCCTATTTTGGGAGCTGCTGTTCTAAGAGATTCTGTGCCTGTCTTTCTTTTTTCACCCAGCCAATGGATTGAAAGAAGAGGCTCTTGCACACTTCTGCTTGCGTGGATATAAAGTGAAAAAGGGAAACAATTTGTATAGCACCATCTTCAGATTGTAAAACATTGAGGCATGTGACAGGAGCAATCAACTTTAATTTCTTCCCACCCCATTCTGGGAGCAAAAGCAATCTCTCAAGAGACAATGAAGTAAAATTTCATAGAAAGAAAGAAGAAAGAAAGAAAAAGAAAGAAAGAAAGAAAGAAAGAAAGAGAAAGAAAGAAAGAAAGAAAGGGTTAAAAACTTTAACTATTAGCATGCAAACCCATTCAGTGGTGAAGGAAATAAATACAGCCTCATTTTTTTTCAAAAAGCATTTTCAGCAGCTTGATTTATTGGTGAGATTTATCCTTACCTCAGCACTTAAAAGACTCTAGGTCAGGGGCCGGCAACCTGAAATGGTGAAAGAGCCACTTGGATCCGTTTCCCTCACAAAAGAAAAAACTAGGAGCCGCAAAATGCACGCATGCGCACACAAACGTAATGGGGCTTGATTAAAGAGTGGAGCCTAAGGCAACACATGCACTGTCCCTGTCCCTGTCCAGCTCCCCCTCCCCGGGCCGAATGTTGCTGCAGTTGAGAAACGCTGATCCAGGCTGATTTAATACCTGCTGGGAACGTGCACTTTCAACTCTGCTTTGGTAGAACGGATGTCTCAATACCTCTACTCTGGGCTCACCCTTCCATCTCAATTTATCAAACCAGGGCAGAAACAGGAACAGGGCTGGTACCGTCACAGGTCGTGGCTAACCCTTCCCAAAGGGTGTTGCAGACACAAATGCCTCTCGTTTGCTACCTGCAGAACAAGACGCCGGATTGTCAGCATTGCTGTAAGACCACCTCCTGCAGTGCCAGCTAATGCGGTGTGCTTCTCTTTGCAAACATATGCGAAATGTTTCGGGATTTCACTCGCCCGCCTGCCCAAGTGGAGACCCTGCGCCGCCTCTTCTCCTGTGGCCAGGGAAAGAGGGCCAGCCCCAAGCCTGTCCTGGAAAACTTTTTAGGCCCCAAATATCCCCACAACCCCTTCCCCTACAGCCCAGGCACTGTGGATCCGCAACAGGAGGGAACCTTCGGGACCTTCGGTACTCCCGGCAGTGGAGGCGGTGGTGAGTGGATGGCGAAGGGCCATGGCTGCTCGGTTGCCGCCGCCTCCTCTCTGGCCTCATTCAGCGTGACCGGCAGCGGCGACGGCAACAGCGGATGGATGGTGAAGGGGCACGGCTGCCCAGGCCAAGGAAGGCACCACCGATGGAGACAAGAAGGGGTTGGTGGCGGAGAGCCCAGTGGCACCAGTGGCAGCGGGAGGACGGCGAAGAGCTGCAGCTGCCCGGGCCAAGGTATGTAAAGGCGGTGGAGAGTCCCTCAGCAGCGGAAGGAAGGCGAAGGGGCGTGGCCGCCCAGGCCAAAGTGGGGCAGTGGGAAGATGGTGAAGGGGCGTGGCCACCCAGGCCAAAGTGGGGCAGGATGACGGAGAGCGCCACGGCAGCGGGAGGATGGCGAAGGGCTGCAGCTGCCTGGGCCAAGGTGGGGCAGGGTGGTGGAGAGCCCTGTGGCAGCAGGAGGATGGCAAAGGGCCGTGGCCACCCAGGCCGAGCTCTGTGGACAGGGAGCTGCAGGAGATGGCTGAAAGAGCTGCATGCGGCTCCGGAGCCGCAGGTTGCTGACCCATGCTCTAGGTCATTTGCGGATATTAATGCTTAATAAATAATAAATAAACATAAAGCATACTAAATAAAGCAATGCAAAATAATAACAAATTACCAGACCATTGAAGGCAATATTGGGGTTAATGAAGCCATTCAGTCCCCTAAGCTTTCTGGAAGAGATACTGAGAATTCCTGCCTCTAAGCTGTTGTGAATATTTGCACTTTTCTTGCAAGCATTAAGCCTACATTCACAGCTGTATTTCCAAACTTCATCATCTTTAAGATGTGTTGATGCAGAGATTTCAGTTTCCAGAATGCCCAGCCAGCATGGCTATTGCTACTAATTCTAGGAGTTGAATTCCCTGCAATTCAAAATTGTCAAGTTTGTTTGCTTGTTTAATTTCCATAGCCACCTATCTCAAGCCAATGACTCTGAGAAGCTTACAATTAAAAAAAATTATTATGATTAACCCTAAAAATTTTTTAAAAATAAAAATACTGAAAAACTAAAAAATCCAGATTAAATATACATAAGAGCAAGTTACATGGCCAGTTATGAAATACTAATTCATAGCAATGTTCCATATTACCAAATCAATGGTTAGGGATTTTAAAGAATATTTGGAATGTTTGGGTTTTTGATATTTAATATTAAGAAAATGTATTTTTTATTGAACATATTAGAGAAAGGATTGGCTATCAACTTATTCTGGAAATGTAAAACAGATAAAGGGGTACTTTCTTATCAGATGTAGAAGACTTCTATCACTCTGGTCTCATTTTCTATCCATAAACCTATTGAAGTATTGCTATAAAAATCAGTATGTTTTAAAGATACAAGTATACTTCTGATTTACATGCCAAGTATTAGGAATATATCATTATATGAAGAATTATGATTTACCAATAGGAAATGCAGCAAGAACAATGTTATTGCATTGTTATTGTTCAAACCTAGATTCCAATCTTAGATTGATCATCTATGATTCCTTTCCATATATAAACTTACCAGAATTGTTATATTATTTCCCACTCCAAAGGGAACAGTACTTCTTTGTGGGGTAAGCCCCTGCATGCTCTATCTAAGAGCTGTGCTGAATAGATGCAATCATACCAGAAAGGTCTTAGCTGAAAAGTCAGCCTACATCTGTTCCATAAAAATCCATTCAATATGGTGAGAATACATAATTAGAATTTCACACTGGATCAATTGTTGGTGGCGCAGCAGTTAGAGTGCAGTACTGCAGGCCACTTTAGCTGACTGTGTTCAGCAGGTCAGCGGTTCAAATCTCACTGGCTCAAGGTTGACTCAGCCTTCCATCCTTCCTGGGTAGGTAAAATGAGGACCCAGATTGTTGGGGGCAATGTAAATATATATATACATTGCTTACTGGTATACACCGCTTAGAGAGTGCTTGCACTTAAAGCAGTATATAAGTCTCATAAATAAATAAATAAATAAATATTAACAAGAGTCGCATTGGTTTTCATGGCTTTTGAGTATTCACTGAAAAATGTACCATAGAGCTCAGCTCCTTCTCTAGACAACCTGGATATGGAGCTGCTGGGCTGCTGGAAAAAAACTGAAAGGAAAGAATTTGGCCAAAGGAAGAAAGGATAATTTTATATATGCATGGAAAATGAAAGCTGTAGAGTTCTGAGGGGCCTAGTGTGGTTATTGTATAATCTGTATGGGACACAATGTGTTTCAGGCTATGTAAGGAATAATTTCATTGTGCAGTTTGCAATCTTTGATTGAACTGCATGTTCTTGATTTGTGTAGACACTGATAACAGTTTGTTTTTTCCAGAAGTAGCCAAGTTCAATACATTGGGTTAATAATTGTAACAATGTTGTTCATCCTAATTTTATGTAACTGCTCATTTATTCAAAGAGATGCTGGCAAATATTCAGCTGTCACTTTAAACTTTGTCAGTTCAGATAAAATGGTTGCACAAACATACTGACTACCGTAGTCAAAAAGGGATCAGAAGGGATAAGGGATCATGACAAAACACTTCTATATTATTGTCAGCTTTGTGGATATTTCCATGGAGTAACTTGAAGGGGTCTACACCATTGTGTGTGAGTGTGTAGGTGGTTGGGTAGGTTAGTATATGTGTTTTCAGTATTAGAGGGTTGATCAATAGCACTCATACAATCCAGGGATGTC